CAAATATTAAAGGATGAAAAGAAATGGGTAGAGCTCACTGAGTCAGTTGAGTAGATGACAAGGCACAAGGTAAATTTTGCCTATATTCTTTTTGATTGGGCAGACTTACCATTTAACTGTGAAAACCTAAAAATGACACATTGTAGATTCACAGTATTTATGAATTAAAAACAATAACTTTCAAGGAGAAAGTTAAAGAGAGGACTATATTTGCATATCTTCTCCATTCCACTTCTTACATCTCGCTGATATTTTATCTTTTAAAGTAACCTACAATTCATTCATATGCTCAATATATACTGAATTAAAGCTTTACTGAACAATATTTCTAAAAGATAATTCAAAGGAGAAAAGAAGAGAGGAGATGTAAAAATTGCAGTGCATATTAAAGACGGTTTAAAATACCAAATAGAGTGATAAAAATAGAAAATTCAAGCACACATCTCAAGGCAGCATTGCGAGAAATGGCTAACAAGGGAAGTGGGGGGTCAGATTTGAGATACAAATGGGGACTTTAAAGAAAGTTTACATTTATAGCAAAACTGAGCTTGTGAAAGAAGACCCCCCCCCCATTTTTGTAACAGTATATTCTCCATGCTCTCTTCTGTCTTTTATCTAATTCACCTATTTGCTTTTCTTAAATAGATGTATCTCCCCAAGTTCTGTTCCCAACTCCTCCTTTTCCTCTCAAGGTAATCACAAACCACTAGGTAGAAGACTCCCTAGCCAGTCAGCTCTGACTTTGATTTCTAGAGTTCTGTACTTCCTACAGCCTCTGCTAAACAGCTCTATCCAACTATTTTACTGGCTCTTCAAACTTGCCACTGCCCCCATATGAAGTCCTGTGGCAGATACATACAAGTAGATTTTACATTAAGACAGATATGGGTTTAAATCCTGGTTCTAACCAAGTGGGCAACCTTGGGATGCTGAGAGATATGAGATACAGTCTGGGAAGCACTTTGCTTATTGCTTGGCTAAGTACCAAGCTTAATTTATCAACTGGTATTATTACTAAACCATATAGAACCCAGACTTGAAAACCCAAAGTATCTTTGTCTCACTCACTCCTCTCTCTTATCATCCAGAAGCTTATTCTACTTATTTAACTACTAGAAACTAGAGCTTCATGAAATCCAAATTAGATCATATTAGTTAAAAACCCACCAAAACTTTCTCACCCCACCTCCACATCTTCACCCTTCACACAACATATCTGTCTCCCAAAATACAGATTTCTCTGACTTCCTGTGGCTAAAAAGAATCCAGTGGATCTGTTATTGTACTTCTTTAAACCTATTCACTTATATGCACAAACGTTTACTTCAAGACAGGACCTATACTAGATATATAACACTGTTCCCCCCCCCCCC